CACCACGGACAGGAACCCACATCGAGGGGTATAACCCCTGGAGATTCATCACAAGATATTGCACAAACAAACTGAGGCGAAAACAAATTCTGCACACTCTACCAACATCGGACAAACTTTTGAGGAGGTTGCCAACAGCAAAATGGACACCTTCTGTCTTCCAGATCATATATTTCAAGAGAATGAACAACATTGTATCGTACAAAAGAACATACAAAGTAATATATATACCAATGACACTCCTGAGTTTACCACTGAAGAAATAGCTTGGGCGTTTACAAAAATGAACAACAAAAAAGCAGAAGGATACAATGATATTACGCAACTCTTGGCGAAACAACTGTGGGTTATTATACCTGATCAACTATCTGAGATTTACAACACATGTCTAAAAATTGAAATATTTCCTAATTCCTGGAAAAGGGCAAGGATCGTACCTGTGCCGAAACCGGGAAATCTGGANAGGGTCTTTATACATTGGATGATGACAATGTAGATCACGGAAACTTTTTAGAAATGATATTACTTTTAAGCAAATATGACGATATTTTGAAGAAGCATTTGGATAGTTGCATTAAGGAGAGTAAAAAATTCACCAGTCAAATTTAGATAAGGAAACACAAGGACGTGGCAACTTAGTTACATTTTTATCAAAAACTACTGTAAACTACATACTTGAAGCAATATCGAAACTAATTAAAAACAAAATTTCTAAAAAAATAAATGATGCTGGAATGTATAGTATTCAGATTGACACCACACAAGATATAAGTGTTCAAGATCAATGTGCAATACGTAAATAAATACATAAATGAAAGACTTTTAGCCATCATCAGTGTGGAATCATCAACCAGTAAGGCTTTTTACAATATTATAAAAGAAATACTAGGAAAAAATAATTTGGACATTACCAAATGTATCGGAAATTCTACTGATGGTGCTAGTAATATGCAGGGGAAATATCGTGGGTTTTCTGCTCATATGCTTGAAGCTATCCCAGAGCATGTTCATGTACGGTGCTACGCCCATGTTTTGAATTTAGTTATTTCTGACATTACTCAGTCATCAATTGCTGTAGCTTCATTATTTAGTCTATTAAATTTAATAGCAATTTTCATTCGAGAATCGTACATTCGAATGAATGTGTGGATTTCTTTTAGTAAAGATACCAGGCGTAAAAAATTAAATACGATAGGAGAAACGCAATGGTGGGCCAAGGATGTAGTCTTGAAAAAAGTGTTTGGTAATTTTGCTAATCCTAAAGATGGCTTATATGTTGAATTAATATTAACATTACAGTATTTTGCTACATCAATAAACATTCAACCAAACATACGAATAAAAGCAAAATCTTTTTTAGATTCCTTAATAAAGTATGAAACAGTTTTAACAGCTGAACTTTTCTTACAAATATTTGATATTACAACACCGATTTCAAATTATTTGCAAGAAAGAAGCATAGATTTCATCAAAGCTCATCGTATGGTTATGAATGCAATCAAATTATTAAAGGATATATCGCGAAAATTTAACGTTGTAAAGAACTCTGCTTATATGTTTGTTAATTATGTAAATAATAAACTGGATGAAATGCAATGTGATGTCGAAGTTGAATATACATTACCTGATATTAGAATACGCAAAAGAAAGCAAATGGACGGTGGAGAAACTACGGACGAACCGATAAGAGATTCATTGAAGAGGTATGAAATAAACAATTACAATCACATACTAGATACTGCAATTCAAAGCATGGAAAATCGTTTTACAAAAACCCAATTACTTTATAATGACTCCACTTGTTTAAATCCAAAAAATTTTTCTGAAAATACTCCTGAAAATGCTTTTAAAAAATTAAGCAGTATTTTAATACAGTTTAATCCAGAAGCAACTCAACACAATATTATTTCAGAATTACAACATTTTAAATCGTCATGGAATATTTTAAAGGAAAATGTCAGTGAAACGTTTAAAAAATTAAACAAAAATGAACATTCTACTGACGATCATGTAGAAAACGATAATGATTCAATTTCATCTTCTTCCTGCAAAGCTTGCAAAAATTGCCCTATTTGTTGTTATAATGTATTAGTCAGATATAACATGTTAAGTGGCGCTTATTCTATACTTGGTCAAGCATACAAATATTTACTATCTATGTCTGTAACACAAGTCTCCTGTGAACGGAGTTTTTCTACGTTAAAATTCATTAAAAACAGACTAAGATCAAGTATCTCGCAAGAAAATCTACAAGCCTTCATGTTAATGTCAGCAGAGAAGGATATTTTAAATGAAATAGATTCTGATGACATTGTTAATATTATTGCTCAACAAAGCGAACTTTTAAATAAAAATTTAATGTTGTAGACTTGTGCTTATTGTAATTTTTGTCAAGGTTGTATTTTGAATATATTTAAATATAAATAGAAAAAAGGCATTTATTTATTTATGGGCTGGGCTGGTAATAACTTTTTCCACACAAAAATTTTAGGGCTAGTCCGCCCCTGCATGCAGCTCTACAAAATACCCCCAACCAATTGGAACCACTGGGAGATTAAAAAGCATATCAACCCAATAAAAGAGAAAGAAAACAATCAAATAAATACCGAAATAACCAAAGATGAAATAAAAAATGCCATAGACGACTTCCACATCAAAAAAGCTCCAGGCACCGACGGCCTCCCAGCTGAACTGTTCCGCTTCTACAAAGAGGACTTCGCTGAGATTTTCCACAAACTGTTTAACATGAATTCTTTTCATAAAAACTTCAGCACAGGTAA